TTTCCAACTGAAAGTAGCAAGAGCCATAATGTCAAGAACTGGATGGTTGGATGTACTGACCGCCAATGCGGTGCGTTGCATTCCGAACAGCGGACAAGTCATGAACTCACCTACAGGAGTGTGCTCAATGTTCATGCGAAGATTCCTCATTTGTTCAACCGAAAAAAGGATAGGAACCTTACCTTTGTCCAGGATGTCAACGCATGTTGTTATCCAACCAGTCTGTGCACGATCATTGCGAAAATGAATCACTAATCTTTCTTTGACAGTAGATTGTTCTCCATTTGCAAATGAAAACTTACTTGAACACGGTTGCTTAGAAAACCAGATATGATCACGCTTCGGATGTTGTTGGCAAGCCTGTACAAGGCGATCGATGGCAAAGCGGGATCCCATGGCTCGAGTGCAACCTGAGTCAAGGATAACATAAGTCGGATGAGAACCTAAATCTACATACTCACAAAGCAATGCTTGTTGGGCACCATGATCATAATTGAGAAATACACACTCTTCCGTTGAGACGGAATTGAGCGGGCTTGTGCGCGGCTGAAACGAATGCAGATCACCGATCTCGGTAGAAACACTCTTCTCAACTTGGCGGATGCTCTTGAATTGGGACCTGTTCAAATCAGAAAAGCACTGGTACATCACAGACACGAACAGAAGCACGAATGTGAGGGCTTCTACAAGTTCGTGTCCGAACAATCGGAACAAGCGAATGCCTGAAAAACAGAACCGGTTGATCTGGTCGGTCTGTCCGTCCTCAGAAATGACGTCTTGATGCTTGTCCTCGGATTCGGTCAGTTCCTCAGCGGAAGCAAAGTAAGACCAATTGTACCAATCACCTTGGGAGTAATCTCCATCGTATCCATAGTAGGATTCATAACCTGACCAGTCATCTGTCCAGTAGGTGTCATAGTCATAACCCCAGCTTTCTTCGGCATGGGCTGTTTCTTGTTTTTCAGGGGCTTGTGATGCACTAGATGTTGCAGCCTGTGCTACATTAGCTTGTGCAGGTTGTGACAAAAATGGATTGTTTCCTCCTTTGTTCTTCGCATCACCTTTTCCTTTTCCTTTCCATGAAGGCATTCCTTTGAAAGAATCCTTTCCTTTCACCATTCCTTTCTTGCCCTTTTTACCTTTTCCTTTGCCCTTGCCTTTTCCCCAGAAAGTTGTGTCTTGCTGGTCATCTTCCCATGCTGCAAAACCTTTGCCTTTTGACCTCGGGCGGAAGCCGGGTCTTGATCTTTTCCCTCCTTTCTTACCATAACCCTTTGGTTTGCCTTTCTTGAAGGACCTGCCGTAGATACGGCGCTTAGAGTATGAACCCTTGGCGCTGAGAACCCAGAACTCGTTCTCTGTGTACAGACCTGTGAAACCTTCTTCACCCGTCTCTTCATCGAAGACCCAAAATCCGTACTCACCTTCTTCGGTCTCGCCCTCGTCGATGACGTAGAAGTTGGACCGCTTGCGGTGCGTGATGTTTGGGTCGGCAACACCTGTGCGAGAAACGGCAAAAAGTTCTAAAAACAGTTGTTTCACTTGGAGATAGGTATATTGAGGCATTGCGATCTGACGGATGTTCATGGACGAGACAAAACGCTCGCGTTGTTGCTCGTTGAGGTCTGCTTGAACTAGAAAAATCAGTGACATCAAATTGTCTGACAATGGAAGCTGTTGTGCATGTCTGGTCCTTCTATTGGTTATGGTCTGTTCTCTCAGTTCTTGTTGATAAGCTAGCTTATCTTCATCTGTTACTATCTGGTTATAGTGCAGTCTTTGCTCATCTGTGAGTGCTGCCGTAAATGCCGGAGTGCCTGCTTCGGGAAGATCGGATATGTCCAGCAGATCGGACCAAGAAGCCAACAAACGCTTCTGCGCGATCTCAAATCGCCCTATCCAGTGCACGAATTCACTCTGGCCTCGATATGTGCGAAACATCTGGAGGAATCGCCAAAGAAACACATGATTTACTCCCTTCACGAAGTATGGTCTCAATGTGTCCTTGAAATGAGCGAGGCCACGATCCGGATCTCGGAGTAAGGTATTATCGAGCATCGACTTATAAAAAGAAGCGGAACCAATGAGGGCATTCTTTAATGATGGTCCGTGCTTATCTGCATCCAATGTTGTGACCCCTAACCAGTCATCAATTAAATCTTCATATTCAAACCAGCTAGATTGGCCATCAAATTGGGGTGGAACTTTTGGCGTCATTTTGATGCCCATCCGGTTTTCGGAATGACTGGTGGCGGCATATGCTTCCGGCTCTTCATAAGAAACAATCTGGAGTTGTTCTTCATCTGAATCCATATTGTGGATTAAGACCATGGCAGCTACTCTAACTTGACCTACAGGTTGCCTCCGCAAGTCCGATATACGGAATGTATGCAGAGAACGGCAGTTCGGCACACGGATCTAGACTTGGCGAAGGCACAGGCTCCGCTACCACCTTGAGGTAGCTATCCCCTTTTAGGGAGCCCTGGAAACCTATACAAACACCTGCGGACAAGTAGTGGCTGCTGCACTTCTTTTTACACGCGGTTTGCTGCTAGTCTTGAGCCATGCGGAGTGCGCATGAAAGATATGAATTAAGTGTACATGTCAACATGCATGAAAGCATTGTGTAGACACGTAAAGTAAAATAAGTAACACCCCCCCCATGGGATGGTCCCATATACTGCTCCCATATGAGATCTTGCCCCTCCCCCCCTGTGGTGTTGTGGAACTGTCCCCCTCCCCCCTGTGGTGTGGTGGGGGTGTAGTAGTACTAGTACTAGTACTAGTACTAGTACTAGTACTAGTACTGCTACTACTACTACTACTACTACTACTAGGACTAGTAGTACTAGTACTAGTAGTACTAGTACTAGTACTACTAGTACTACTAGTACTACTAGTACTACTGGTACTGTCCCTCTCCCCCCGCTGTGGTGTGGTGGAAGTGTGGTACTGTCCCCGTCCCCCCCTGTGGTGTGGTGGGGGTGTGGTATGGCACGTTGGGTATGGTGTGTATGGTCGGTCTGGTATGGCATGTTTGGAAAGTATGGTATGTTTGGTATGTATGGTAGGTATGCTATGTATGGCATGAATGGTTGTTATTGTATGGATGGTAAGTATGGTATGTAAGTCTGTTGGGTATGGTTTGTTTGATATGACAGTATGTATAGTCTGTATGGTTACTATGATGGGTATGGAATGTTTCCTATGCAAGGTAGGTATGGTATGTATGGCATGTATGTTTGGTATTGTATGCATGGTAGGTGTGGTAATTATGTTTCATATGTATGGTATGTGTGGTCTGCATGATAGGTATGATATGTATGGTATGTATGGATACTATGATGGGCATGTAATGTTTCCTATGTAAGGTATGTATGGTATGTATGGCATGTATGTTTGGTATTGTATGTATGGTAGGTGTGGTAATTGTGTTTCATATGTATGGTATGTGTGGTATGTATGATTTGTATGATAGGTATGATACGCATGGCATCTTTGGAATGTATGGTCGGTACGGCATATGTTCAACACATGTAGTGTTGTGAGAGTACACATGTAGTAAAAAGGAAGTAGATACATAGCACATGTATATATGACTATAGGTGGCACGTAGGTACTTTGAGGGAGTGTGTGTGCTATGTAAGTCGCCTAAAAGGTAGCATGTACCTAGTGAATACGAGGCTGGTAGCCAGAAATGCTGCAAAGACCTAGCAAATACGAGGCTGGACCTCAGAAATGCTGCCAATAATAGCTTGCAAATAGAAGGGAAAGGGGGGGGCTACCTGGGGACCAACCCATTGGGGGGGGTGGGTGGAGAGACGGAGGACGGGACCATATATACGCGCAACGCTTTTGCCCAGGCGTTGCAGCGTAGAGGTTTCCCATTCCCAAACAAATGTTGATGCAACTTAACAAAATTCCTGTGGGAAAAACAACAAAGGTACTAGGGAATATTAAACTCCCACCCCCGTTAAACTTTACTTCCTATTGGAAAAACAACAAAGGTACTATGGAATATAAAAATCACACCCCCGTTAAATTTTACATTCAATTGGGAAGATCAACAAAGGTACTAGGAAATATTAAACTCCCACCCCCCTTAAACCTTAAATTCGTATGGTAAAAACAACAAAGGTACTAGGAAATATAAAAATCCCACCCCCGTTAAAATCTACATTGCTACATTCAATTGGGAAGATCAACAAAAGTACTAGGTAATATTATACTCCCACCCCCGTTAAACTTTACATTCATTGAAGATTTTCAATAAGGGTTTAATTCTCCCACCCCCGTTAAACTTCTACATTCAGTGAAGATCTTCAAAAAGGGTTTAATTCTCCCACCCCCCGTTAAACTTCTACATTCATTGAAGAACTTCAATAAGGGTTTAATTCTCCCACCCCCGTTAAACTTTACATTCATTGAAGATTTTCAATAAGGGTTTAATTCTCCCGTTAAACTTCTACATTCAGTGAAGATCTTCAATAAGGGTTTAATTCTCCCACCCCCCCCGTTAAACTTCTACATTCATTGAAGAACTTCAATAAGGGTTTAATTTTGATGATGATGATGATGATGATGATGATGATGATGCGTCGCCTGTCGTCATTGCGGGTCCGGGCAAAACCCAGGCATTTGCCGTTAAATAGATACATTGTATTCACCAGATAGCCAGAGAAATCTGATTCTGGGGCTTATGCCATGCCAATTTGATCATCTTTCATATGGCATTTGTATGCCCTCAGATCAGCCCTCAAAGCCACTCGCCCAGGCTATGGGTCGAGTCAATACCCTATTGATACCAATAAAAATTATAAAATTAACATTTTGGAGGGATTATATAACATTATGAAGATTAATCAAATTAATTTCCAACATGTTAATCCGATTATTATGCTGTAGGATTAAGCATCAGCTTCTATTGGTGAAAATGAACATTCATTTACCAGCTATTTTGATCTTCACCAAGGGTCCAGGGTTTTCACCGTGTCTTCCAGGACTTTGTTGGCGATGCTTGTGCAGTTTGTATACACCTGTCGCGTGGCAACTGGATGGGTTGACCGGTGCCCATAACTAGGCGAAAGAGGGGGCATGATATGGTTGATATATGGGTGTCTGAAAATAGGATGCTACCCTAATTTGCAATGGTTTATCATGATTCTTCACGTCAAAATGGTAATTTGATGGTATACCATGGTATACCCCATTTTCGGTCACAACCAGATTTAGCTATAGTTGGGTAAGACATAGTCTCCAGCCACTAAGAGTGGGCAATGAAGGTTGATAGGAAACCACCTACTAAAGAGATGATGGTTCAGGTGGCCACAGGCTATGTTCAAAGACTTACTAAACTAAATACGGGGATACTGAAAACAAGACAGTAGTCAGATAGTTCCGGGCTTAAAAGTTTCAAGCCGGTTGGTACTTTGAAGCTGAGCCAGAAATACCCAAAATGCATCCCAGGCATGGAGATTTTTAGCTCCGAGATAAGCAGCCCCCTTCGGGCGGGGATTGAGGAAATGTGGGTACCACGCGGGGTGATCATGATTGATCCATATCTGCGAAGGCCTCCCCAAGATATTAGTTGCTCTGCAGCCCAATTGTAGCTATCTCCGCCATAAATCCTACCTACATAGCCTGGTTGTCACTCCAGTTCTTCTACTAGGTGTGCGATAGTTTTTGCATATGGTAGCAGAAACTATATCCCACCATATTAGTTTTTCCATATGGAAAAATAGTGTTTTTCTACATATGGTAGTTCTTCTAGCTGTATGGTTTATGCATATGGTAAATATATAATGTTTCATCAACTCTAGTGACTCTAGCGTCACTTGTTTCAAACACGATTCGCGACCTTCGGCGGCACAGGTGGTACGTGTATTCACGGACTCTTTCACTTTGTCCTCTTGCTCTGTGCGCTGCCAGTGCTGTGCATTCTGACACTGTGGCGAGGTGATAAGATCACCTCAGTGGTGAGATCATAGTAATAATAGAGGTTGCAATTTACAACTGGTTAAAATAAGGCGTAAATGGGTTAGTTTACTCAGTTGTAAATGGAATATGCGGAATAATGAGGTAAATCGAATAATGAGGACCATCCCCAATCGCAGGATATTTGTAGGATAATATGGATCGATAGTAGAGGATAATAGTGGGATAATGGTGGGCAGTTGGGAAAACTGTACAATAAATCATCACCAATTTGGGTCCAAATTTGGGTTTATGAAAGTGGGTACAGTAAACCACCATGACAGGGATGATTTGACATGACCCTGAAGACGTTGTTGTTGCTGTTGTTCTTCTTCTTCTTGTTGTTGCTGTTGTTCCCCGGATGTTAATTTGGTTTGCCTCATGAACGCAGGAATCAGGGACTCACCAGGGCTACAAAGCATGGTCTTCCAGGTAGTCCAGGTACCTTTTGGTGGTCTTTTTCCTTGAACCTGTTCCTCTAAATCTTGAACAAAGTGATGCTGTTTGAGCCACAAAAAAAGGGTGGTTGAGGTGAGTTGTGTTAAATATGGTATATAGTTGGTTTAAATTGCATTAAACTATTGCGTTTGTTCCCTTATCCCCTTTTGGGGACGATGACCCTAAAAGACTTGTTTTTCACAGGGGTCTGAAATCAGCACTCAAATATTCTCAGTGACTGTGTAGGTTGCCGTTTGTGAGGCAAAATTGATCATGTCACCGTGGGCAAATACGGCAAAGATGTGCAATTCCTTGTTCGTGCTATACTGGATTCATATTGGGGAATGTGCATTCCTTTTTTCAAGTTCCTGGGTTTATTGAAGGATGTTCAAGGTTAAGTTTTCTTTTCCCACTGGACCACCCTTTTGGAAGAGTGTTTTGGCATTAGTTGTTTACCCTTTTGGGGACCACTTCAGCACATCCATGTTGCTTGGTGTTTTTTGTTTAATGTTCAACCATATCTTGGACGATGATCCCAATTAATTTGTTTAAGGGGGATTGAAAGCACCAACCAGTTGTACAATTAATGACTACCTAAAGTGCATGGAAACTCAAAATTTAAATTCTACGTGGTCGGGGTCCAGAGTCCAGTCTCCGAAGATTGCATGGTCCAATGCCTTGAATTCAAAACCCTTCTTAGTTTGGGCCCATCGTAAGATTTGTAGGTCCTAAAATGCTGATTCACCCCAGATGATAGCCGCCCAAATTATAGGTGGACGAAGTGTTTTTTTCGATACTTGCCGAAAGTCAAGCTAATTAAATCCAGCTATAAGTCTAAGTGCAGTGACGTTTTCGATAGATGAAGCGCCGTTTCGACTTTGAAAATCACTCAGGACACCCTTCTGTAGTTGGAGCGGTACCTATCACACTTTCAGACAACTTCTGAAGGTGGACGGTGCGGGTCTGAAGTGTAGATACTGTGGATCCAAAACCCGAATAGCCATGACACATTTCTGCAGTTATGGCCCGAGTTATACCAGTTATAACTTATAACGTACTAAGTCACACCATTTATGGAATGTAGAATCCCATAGAAATAGCCAGTTGTAACATGTTATAATGAATATATATATATATATAAATGACACTCCCTTTTTGTGATCAAGTTCTTTGCCATGGTCAAGTTGTATGGCTTGTTGTCCCATAGAGGATGGTCATCCACCCATTCATAGGGTTTCATATGCCCATTTTAAGGTTTCTCAATATTGGATGATTGGGCGGTAACATTTTGATTTCAATCATCAGTAGTTTAATCCCCGTTCCAGGATGCCAAAAATGCGTAATCCGCACCAAACCATGGTTTCTGGGAGTGTTAGTGATAATCTGTGTTTGCTGGTGTGATCTTTAGTTTGATACAGTTAATCTGTGTTTGATATAGTTTTTCAAGTTTTTTTTAATGTTTGATATTGGGGGGAAGATATTGTTTTGGAACACCAACTGCCTGATCTTTGTTTAACATTACTGCTGATTCATATTCCATATTCCATGGACGCGGATGACTCACTATGAAACTCACTCTTGGCGCGGATACACGTGTATAAGTGTTGCATCAACATTTGATTACATTTAATTTGGACATTTCTGATTTCTAGATGCAGAGTCACAGAATACCCAAGTATCCAACTGGAACATCATATTCTCCAACTAGTTATGACTTATATACATTTTCATCCAGCCAATGGTGGTGGGAAGACTGTGGTTTCACCCGACTCGTGCATGTGTGTGTGAGCTGGCATGCTAATGCAGAAACTATGTAGTAGTTGAGGGTAACTTTTGATTTTGGTTTGTGGTCAGCCTCCCTATTCAATTGGTAATTTCGGGTTACAATATGTTATAATCGTTTTTGACTAACCCATATATTCACTTAATCCCATTTGATCTTGGTTCAATCCCACCCCCCATTCTGATTGGTTTTCTCGTTGTGTTCATTTCTTTGTCCTCGTCCAACTATGTCGGTTAATTGTCCATTGGTGTTGGTAATTCTAACCTGTAATGGTTCCGAATGACCATCGATTGTTGGTTATTATGCCCATCTTATTATTTATGACGTGTTGGCTAATCTGCTAATGATTCTTATTTATTGTTGCCGTAGCATATGCGTCTCATATTTACACCCACGTATTGGACCATAAGTACTAATATGTGTAAACAAGGTCTTGAATCCTTGTGTATCACTATTCATCTGGTTGGTGGTTTTAAACATATGTTTTTTTTTCCATGTCATATATGGGATATTCCTTCCCATTGACGAACTCCATCATTTTTCAAGATGGTTAGGTCAACCACCAACCAGATGAATAGTTGGAAAAATCCTTATGGAATTTTTGCCCATGTCTCTTGAGTCGATCCTCATGCTGTGACATGATGATAGTTGTCCGATGCCGATGATGGTTTCATTTTTCTTTTGTTAGGACAACTATCATCGGACAAGAATTGGACAACAGTCAGATAATCATCAAACCATGATGATAGTTGTCCTATTATTGAACTATGTTTCCAATAATTGGACAACAGCCAGACGCAGTTTGATCAATGAATTATTGGACACCTATCACCTATCATGTTTTTTTTTAATGGTGCTATTAAAAACAACGATTGGACAACAACCTGAACAATCATGATAGTTGTCCAATCATGTTCCATCATTTTGGACTTCATTGATTTTATCCATTATAATAGAGCATTCTTTTCCATTTTCAACGCATGTTATATACTGTAATTGTTTTCCCATTATTATAGACAAGTCTGTTCCATTATGTTCCAAGCTATGCTTATCTTCCATCCTATGATGTTCATCATATTTCATCATCATGCTTTTCGCATTGCTTGTGGCTCTGCCGAAAAGGCACACCTCACTCCTGACAATGCTGATATGCCGAAGTACATTTGGGTCATCCAGCGAGAATGCACCAATGACCTCGAGCGACTGGGCTAGACACTGGACTTGGGATGATTGCTACAGTTTTTCACACTCTAAATGGTTATAGATAGCAATACATGGGTATAATAATACCAGTTATAGTAATCATAGATGGTTTTAACGCCTAAAGATGATTATTGATTATTATAGATGGTCTTAAAACCAGTTTTGCGCTGAGTTAGCATATATAGCTAAAAACACTCTATTTATATATTAACCATAGATTGTTAATGTTGGTTCCTGATTAGTGTGAGGCCCCCCCCCCTCCCCCCTAAACAATATTTGGACTCTCTTTAAAGTGGAAAGTCAAAAAAAATATTCCCAAGAGAAAAGCAAATCCTCACTTAAGTAAGGATTTCAATTGGCTACAATTGAAATCTAATCAAAACTGTTTTTTACCGATGAACTTGTGGTAATAGTACTTGTAGTACCTGTAGTACTTGTAGTACTTGTAGTACTTGTAGTACGTGTAGTACTTGTAGTACTTGTAGTATTTGTAGTACCTGTAGTACTTGTAGTACTTGTAGTACCTGCAGTACTTGTAGTACTTGTAGTACTTGTAGTATTTGTAGTACCTGTAGTACCTGTAGTACTTGTAGTACCTGTAGTACTTGCAGTACTTGTAGTACTGGTAGCACTTGTAGTACTTGTAGTACTTGCAGCTGTAGTACCTGTAGTACTAGTTGTACTTGTAGTACCTGCAGTACTTGTAGTACTTGTAGTACTTGTAGTACTTGTAGTATTTGTAGTACCGGTAGTACTTGTAGTACTTGTAGTACCTGTAGTACTTGTAGTACCTGTAGTACTTGCAGTACTTGTAGTACTGGTAGCACTTGTAGTACTTGTAGTACTTGCAGTTGTAGTACCTGTAGTACTAGTTGTACTTGTAGTACCTGTAGTACTTGTAGTACTTGTAGGACCTGTAGTACCTGTAGTGCTTGTAGTACTTGTAGAACCTGTAGTACTTGTAGTACTTGTAGTACCCACAGCTTGCTACAATAGTGAGCCCAGCAAGCAAACCTACTAAACTGAAATGGAGCCTCTCCGGGTCCAGGGCCTTGGAAAATTGTGGAAAAGCTGTTCATTAGTAAGGGTTTAGTAAGGGGTTTGCTCCTTTGGGAAAGGCTTGGGGTTTGAATTTGGCAATTGCTTTTGGAAAAGGCGTGCTTCTCTTCTAGGCTTCCAGGAGCTGCTCTGGCACAGCTTGCTACAATAGTGAACCCATCAAACAAACCTACTAAAGTGAAATGGAGCCTCTCCTGGTCCAGGGCTTTGAAATTGTGGAAAAGCTGTTCTTAAATAAGGGTTTAATAAGGGATTGGCTCCTTTGGGAAAGGCTTGGAGTTTGAATTTGGCAATTGCTTTTGGAAAAGGCTTGCTTCTCTTTTGGGCTTCCAGGAGCTGCTCTGGCACAGCCTGCTACAATAGTGAGCCCAGCAAACAAACCTACTAAAGTGAAATGGAGCCTCTCCTGGTCCAGGGCCTTGGGAAATTGTGGAAAAGCTGTTCTTTAATGAGGGTTTAATAAGGGATTGGCCCCTTTGGGAAAGGCTTGGGGTTTGAATTTGGCAATTGCTTTTGGAAAAGGCTTGCTTCTCTTTTGGGCTTCCAGGAGCTGCTCTGGCACAGCTTGCTACAATAGTGAACCCAGCAAACAAACCTACTAAAGTGAAATGGAGCCTCTCCGGTTCCAGGGCCTTGGAAAATTGTGGAAAAGCTGTTCTTAAATAAGGGTTTAATAAGGGGTTTGCTCCTTTGGGAAAGGCTTGGAGTTTAAATTTGGCAATTGCTTTTGGAAAAGGCTTGCCTGGCACAGCTTGCTACAATAGTGAGCCCAGCAAAACAAACCTACTAAAGTAAAATGGAGCCTCTCCTGGTCCAGGGCCTTGGAAAATTGTGGAAAAGCTGTTCTTTAATAAGCGTTTAATAAGGGATTTGCTCCTTTGGGAAAGGCTTGGAGTTTGAATTTGGCAATTGTTTTTTCCCAAAAAAAATCTCTTCCATTTTTTCTTGCCACGAAAGTGAACCCTCCAAACAATACATGGGTTTCAGAATAATTTGGAGAAAATTTGCCACAATAGCGAACCTAGCTACTAATCAGGAGCCAACAATATAATCAATAGTAGTTATAGATGGTTAAGTATAATAAATGGCTATCGATGGTCCCGATGGTTTAATGGCTACTAGCTACAGCAATTTTATTTGGGATGTGTTTGAATCCTCGCTTTAAATAGTTGCGAACAGGTTAAATTATACTGATTCAGTGGTTGAGTTTATAAATCCATTGTGGGATACACCCCACTTTAGGAACTCCCACTTATACTGTGGCACACACCGTGACACCGCAGGCTGCGCAGTCTTCATGCGCTGGTGAAGGAGAAAGTGAACGAGGTGAATCGAAACGTGCAAGGTGCTGGGGGGGCAGGGCCGTGGGACTGGATGGATATAATGAGGCTAATATGCAAAGTGGGGCCCGCAAACGATAGCTAAGTTGGTGCAAATAACTTCATTTTTATGGTTTATGGTACGCAACTAACTACTGTTAATGGGGTTTGTAAACCAATTTATAACTAGGGGGCCCCACATTCTGGAACCATAATTGGAATATCAAGGAGAGATAATGAGGTCAGCGCCGATTTTCGAGAATTATTCAAATGTGGTCAGCGCTTTGAGGAGGTGATGAGCACTTGGAATGCTCCTATTGGCCCAGTCCAACTTAGTCCAAGTTAGGGACGTCTTGCAGCTGGTGGAGATGCTGATTGGAACGCAATTCCTTGCCTCACAGTGGAGCATTTCAAACGTGCTTTCAATCTGTTGGCTACTGCGCTCCCAGACACTACAGGTGCGGCAGTTGGCATTTTGCATGCTATGTATCACAGAGTTTCTCCTGATTGCAGTCGAGCCGCGATTATGCAGATGCTCTTGGCTCCAGTCCGCTTCCAGTTGCCTGTATCACTCCTCATTTGATTCAAGGGAAAATCACTGTCCCTCAGTCTGGCACTTTTGCCAGTTTGGCGCAGCGACTGGTGCCAATGACAACTGAGAGAGCGTCCGTTCAGAAAGTGACTGAACTTTTTTGAGAAAATGCTGAAGGTATGCTGTTCCAGCTATCGTTTTGAAAGTGACTCCTGTGAACTTTCTGATTTCAAACAGGATTTGGGACGGTTATGCTGTTCCAGCTTTTCTCGCAATGATAGCTGGAGCCTTATGTCAAGGCCTTCACTGGCAAGAACTCAAGACAATCGACCTGCAAAGAGGCGAGCCTTTTGCAGGATAGATGCATGATGTGATCACTGACCTTGGTGATGTGCCTTCAGCATGTTCAGCAGATGTGGGCCCCCCCAGTGATGGAACGATGGTTTATAAACCCCGTGAATACTATAGTTATAGGTACCATAAACCATAGTTATTGGAGCAGCTGAACGCTATCTAGTGGGCCCCACTTTGTAGGCTCATTGCTTCGCTCAGATGGTTGAATTCCTCGCCCTCCGCCCCGCGGCTGTCATTGTTTGAACCTGGGTCAGTGCTCGTGCTCCCAACGACTTGCTGACCGTTTGGAACATATACATAACAAGGGCTGAACAAAGCCACGTTTGATAACTATCATGCTGAACTTGGCTCATGTGCCTAGGCCCTTGCAGGATAATGTTTGATACAAGATATTGCCCCTGTGGGCCAGTCATCGCAAAGTTGGGATCTACATAACTCAAATTTGACTTGGGCCTAGGGTAAACATGATACATAACTTTATTCTCACGTTTGGGTTTATGGTAGATATATCGAACTAGTTACTTTAAAAAAAAAAACAGCATTCACATTTCACTGGGTCACCACCTCGTAGGTTTCGGTCGTTGTTGATTTGTTTAAATAAAGGAATAGTTGTTCATCCTATCCACCTAATTTTCAAGCACAAAAGGAACATGGTTTAATAGAAATGAAGTCACATATTATATTGGGGATCATAGAATGGGGGTGCTTCATGCGAACGCGGGAAGGAATGAGTGAATATCAACCCGCAGAATCTCTGGCGATCAAGCATTTGACAGAGGTAGTTTCAGCGGGTTGATGGGGGTTACGTTAGTTGACCCCTCTCATAGGGTCTAGGATGATCACACTTGGACAACTTAGGTGAAATTAAAGTCTATGTGTAGCTAATACCTAATCAGGTCAGATAGCACCCTTGTGTTTGTGAGTTTTAAACGGCAAGGTAAACATTTACAGGACATGTATCATTTCCCCCAAAAAAATAAATTCGCAACATCCAACCAAAAAAGTGATAAATCACTATAAATCACTTGCCTTTTTGTTTCGGGGATGAATTGCGACAGAGTGTGTTTGATGTTTTTGGTGGTGATTGAGTATGAATTTCAAAGACTGGCCATTGTCATCACCCGAGGTGAGATAGGAAGAAGGTGCATAAAACAAGGTGATTACTATATGTGATTTATTATAGTGATTTATGGTGACTTATGGAGGTTTATGATGATTTTCAGTGATTTATGGTCGTTTATCGTGATTTTTGGTGATCTCATGATGATTTAGAGTGACTACTATGAGATTTTTTCGGATTAATGATGACGTTGTTAGTGGTTTATGGTCGTTTATGCTCGGTTACCAAAAATAGAAAGTGGGGTTGCGTGATAGCTGCAGTTCTGGCCCTTAACAGTTGTGGTCATGGGATGAAATAACTCCTGCAACTGGTTGGTGAAACATATCACTTAAATATACTTAAATCAGGTTATAAGCCAGTCAAAACCTGTTAAGGGCTTTACAACTGTATTTTTTCTAACTACAATAACTAGAGTTTATGGCAATTAGAACTTATTACTGAGGGTGCCCACCTTCTGTTTTTCTCCTGTGATTCCAACACCTGGACCTTCTATTGTCAGATGAAATGGCATAAATGGCAACATGGTGTATGGTTGTGCCCCCTAGAATTTGTGTAGCTTCATAGCCCCAAAACATAGCAATAAATATGTAGAAAATATACCGTTTCCATAAATCCCAAGTTCATCAAGTTACAAACAAAAGTTTGCCAATGAACTGACTTCTTGATGAAGAACTTTGTTTCGGAAGAAGAGGATTTTGGGAACTTGACTGACTTCTGGAACTTTTATATCGCATCAAGTGGGTGACCACCAAATTTCATGAAGTTTTTCTTGACGTCTGGAAAGGTGGTTTGTTCTCTTCCCCAACGCTTCCCGTCGATCTGACTCCAAGCACCCGAAACTTGCCTTTTTTTTTTGGCTACTGAATTACTGAATGGTTACATGGTCCGACTATTGAAATGGGTAATGTTTTGGACAACCATAATCATACCCAACTTTGGATGATAGGTAGTTTCATCGTTTAAGTTTTGGGAACTACATGGAAAATCACCATAATCAGCATTTTTTTGTGGACTACCACAGATTGACCATGTATATAACCATATACCTCATAGAACTAAGGACCGTTATAACCCCAAACCCACCGGAGAATCACAATGGTCCTTCTTAATATTGTGATTTGGAGTCATTTGGGGGTTCTACCGAGCATACAACCCATGTATACCCCATTTCAGACACCAAATCACGAGGAATGGTGAAAGGTGTTCGGCAACATCCGTTTGTGTTTCAGCTACAGATCAATGGTTTGGACATGTTGTTTTTGCGTTGAATCAAAGGTCACTGAAACCGTGTACAAAGGAAAGGCGATATAAACCATGTACCAAGAAAAGGCATGACAATTGCCAAAATTGTTGGGCACAGAAATGGTAAATTATTTTGGATGACTGGAGTGTATGTACACCTATACATGACATATGTAAATATATGTAAAAAAATGTCTTCAAACTGTGTCCTAGTTTACCTGTGTGTTTTAATACTTTATTTTGTTTGTACGTCATGTGGATAGTACCCAGGATTTGTTTCAGGTCATACAAGATTAGCCATGATTTGACACCCATTTCCAGGCAAGTTGGGCGAGATGGACCAAAAGATTGAAACCATCACGAAAATGCATCTTGGACACGCAAGCACCAGGTGTTCTCAGTTGGGAAGCAGACGGACAGCCAAACCAATAAACATGAGGGATCAACAAACAGACAAATAGCACCAAATAACATATTATATAACCAATAGGTATATATATATAATTATATATATATAATTATATATACATATGATGTTTGGAATTAGCTCATTGATATCGATATTTACGGACAATAGCCAGATCACCGTATTGATCATAGAGTGATTGGGTTCTAAGGCCTTCGCAAGATATATAAGTATGTATAATTTGGTTAACACGGGTTTAAGGGGAATATAGCTATAATTAGTTGGATTTATAAACCAACCAACAATTGGCGGGGCCCCACAGTGTATGTGGTTTGGAATGGTAGTTGGGAATCCAAGCATGCCCACCATGATGGATAATTCCCAGGAGTGGAAAGGAAATATTGCAATCCAGCCATGGGTTGACACTTGCAAGCCCATTTCACCGAATTCATCTGGTTGGTGGTTTCAAGCATTTTTTATGTTCCATAATATATGGGATAATCCTTCCCATTGACTTGCATATTTTTCAATATGGTTAAAACACGTTAAAACCACCAACCAGTCAATGAACTTACCACGGTTCCTTGTTTCCATCTTATACATATCATATGTTACCCTCAAGGCTCCCTGTGACTACACACATGTTTTCGACAAACGCCAAGCAATGGCAACATCGAAGCTTGAAAGTATCCAAAACTCACTCTATCAAAACTATGTGTAAGTTGATTGAATTGGATTGATATATATATAATATATATATACATACATATTATATTGTGTACATCTGGGTAAATTATAACAACTTCACTGTTCTCCCTCACTGGAATCATGGCAAATAAGGGAAATCATCCCCAAATGGCCTTAATTCATGTTAGTGAAATATTACAATTTACCCAGATACATGCCAAGAGGGGGCCTAGGTCGCTGGCCTAGTTGGTTTATCAGTATGCTTACCTGTTTGGTTTGGACGGCATATCGAACTAGTTGGGCACGGTGTCCTCTGTGGAGCTGTTTCCATGGTTCTGTCACCAAATCACCATGGAATTCCGATTAAGTCCCGACCCATTCCTGTAAAGTCACATGAATTCTCATCAAAGTCCCACTAAATCGAAATATTTCTCATCAAGTCCCATTAAGGTTCATTCAATGCTTCTCCACGTCCGTAAATAGTTTCATTAAGTCTCATTAAAGTCACCTAAAATCTACTTATTTCTCATTGATGCTCATCAAGTCCCACTAAATGTCATTAAAATCCCTAAATCCAAGTATGTATCATCAATTCCCATCCAGTTTTGAAATAAGTCTGCAAATTTATTCCACGCCATGAAATTCCTTCAAATGGTAGGAAAATCCCGTTAACTCTGATAGTCTCGATTTACGTAGAGTTCCATTAAACCACCACATAAATCTCTATAAATCCCTTTAAAACCACCATTTATCCCCCTAAGTCCATATAAACATTTTTGCGGGGGGGGGGGGCATTTTTGACCGGAAAGCCCCATGATCTTCATGGTAAAAACTAAAAACCATGGTTTCCGGTTAAGATTTCCCCATCAACCAATCCATTGATCAACAGAAAGGATCACCCAAATGAATAACTATTTGAATGCTTGATTAGTCCTAGTATTATTTAGCTGATGAAAGATTTGTTTGATCAAATATTATCAACCAATCCATTGAGTCTCACTAAGTCACCATTGTCGAATGCCTAATGCAGGCTGAAGGGACTAGAGGAACGGAGTAACGGAGCGGAGGCGCGGAGCGTCTCAGGCGCCACGGGGCCCAATGAAAAATCGTGATTTTATAGGGATTTATCCCTACTGTAGGTATTCTAAATCACCGTAAATCCCTAAAACTCATGGATAAATCACGATTAATCCCTAAAACATAACATTATTAATCTTTATGAATTCCTATTAGCCACTATTAATCCCTACAGTTATGGCCATGGCCATGAGTTATATATAACTGGTTATTTCCATGGGATTATACATTGCATCACTGGGGTTTTGTTAGTACTTATAGCTGGTATTTCGGGCCATAACTGTAGGGATAAATAACTATTTGTCCGGGATGTATAGGGATAAATTATGATTTTATAGCGATTTATGGCGATACATTATGCTTTGATAGGTATTTGCAGGATAAATCATGATGTTATAGGCTAAGGATAAACGTTTTATTTTGGGGGGATCTCTAGGAATGCATGTTGGTTTAATGTTGGCTTGATGAGATTTAATGGGATGATACGTTGGCTTAATCGTATTTTATGCTGATGATTAGGGTCTGGACCATCATATAATGTCATGATTTTCTTGGGATTTAAATAAGTAATGATTTTCTTTGAATGCCAAGATATACGGATAAATTGTGGTTTAATGCAACTTACTGTAACGGTATTTTATGGTGATTAACAGGGTTTTATCAATAATTTGGATGCTGATGGGAAACAACCAAAATTGGTTATTCACAATACTCGAGATTTGAGATATTTAAATAACCATGTGTTTTCCACGTAATACACATATTCCTTCAGGTAAAGTAACATGGATGTGGACAATCCATGGTGAAAACCCAGGAAAATAATATACATTCATGGCGGTTTCTCCAAATTTATGTATCTAAACGTTTACGGAAGAGTATAATTCTATTACCAAAATTGGTTGTGAACAATAATGATATGTTTTGATATAGCCATGGGAAACAACGGTATAATCAACAATTGAGGGGCATATTATAATGACATGTATAACCATCATATACGTGCCATTGTCAACAGATTGATTCTATACCCATTTTGAGGGATGGTCACCAATCCATCAGTAGGAATTTATGTACCCATTTTAAAGATTCATTACGGGATGGATGTCACTAGGAATTTATATACCATCTGTTGACCTTGGCCATCTTTAAGAATATGATGGAATCACGGAAAAAGTATGTGTTAACATCAATTGAATTTTGATATGATATTATCTGGTACAAAATTGCTTGTTACTGATGCTGATATTCTATGAGCAATCAGATTGAGTTACAACCCCAATAGTTTATTAGATGCCAGGTATTTCACATGGTCCAATGATTGGAATTCAACATGATTTGAACAAAAGATATGAACATGATTTGAACAAAAGATATGAACACTTCAACGGACCGGAAAAACATGATCACTGGCCCCAGTTATCGAAGGAAGTTTAGAAGTCAAACTTCCGACAATATGGAGAGATGAAAAAGCAGTCAGCAGGGAGAAGAGTCAGAAGAGAAAAGATCAGAAGAAAGAAGATGCAGGTGCGCGAAAAGGTAGGAAAGTCGCGAAACACAGTGTTTTTTTTCGTGGTTTTGTGGCTCCGGAGGGTTGAAAAGTAGGCTCGCTAAAGCGGCGGGTGCGGAGACATCTGGGGAGATGAGAGATGAAAAGTTGCACGCCGTTGTGGCGCGAAGCCGATTTCGAAGTGAAAAGGTACAAAACAAAAACACCTCAGCGTCGGACCGCTTTTGGAAGTTGAGATGTTGAAAAAGTGCATGGCGTTGTGGCGCGAAGCACATTTCGAAGTAAAATGTGTTAAAAACTGAGGGGTTCGGACAGTTTTGGAAGTTGAGATAAGTTGAGATAACGAAAAAGTGCACGGCGTTGTGGCGCGAGCACATTTGGACGTAAAAAGAATGTAAAAAGTGTTAAATAAAAACTGTCGGTCTCGGAGCACTTTTGGACGTTGAGATGTCGAAAAAGTGTACGGCGTTGTGGCGCGAAGCACATTTCGAAGTCAACAGTGTTAAAAACTGAGGGTCTCGGAGACATTTTGGACGTTCAGACGTCGTCTTGTGTGGCAGGTGGAGTGGATTGTGCATCCACTGAAAAGTGACTAAAACGTGAGGGTTTTGTAGCATCTTCAAAAACGATGGCAGACGTGGGAGATTTGAAGAGGATCTGCACAGATGCATTTTTCGTGGCAGGTGCAGTACAAGAGGCATCTTCAGCAGAGATGTTCGGAGCTCAAGGAGCTGATTTCCTGAAAGGGGTTGCATTTTGGCGTATCAAATCATCAGCTATGACAAGATGCTTTTTCGTGACAGGTGCAGCATTTCGTATGACCTGGACTAACTTTTTCGTGGCAGGCGCAGTACTTTAGAGACATGGCATGGAAAAATCGCAAAACGCATTGGTACGATGCCGTCAGCTGTACAGTCAACTTTCCATTTTTGAAGGAAGTCTCGCAGAATTGCTTCGTTTTTGATGTTTTCAACTGCAAAAAGTGAGAAAGTCTCGCAGAACTGCTTCGTTTTTGATGTTGCATGGGTAGCTAGCTAAATGGATGGATAGCTGGAAGAAGAGGTAGACGGACAGATGCATGGATGAATCGATAGAGAAACAGAACGAAGAACATGGTGATGGATAGCTGTGGACATGGATCGATGAAGAGATGGACGGAAAAAAAACTAACAGAGAGAAGTAAGTGGATGGATGAATGGCTGGATAGACAGAAAGATAGACAGTTTAATAGATAGGTGAATAAACAAATCGATCGATAGATACATGAATAGACAGGTAGATAGGTAGATGGCTAGAAAGGTAGCTCTGTAGATAGATGGCGAAGGAGAGACACAGAGAAAGAGAGACAGAAAGGGAGAAACACTCAACCACCTTTCAATCCATCAGTGGGTTCGCTCTGCCATTTTTGCGTCACACCAACTCACCTCTCCTATAGGTTTTCCATTTTTGAAACTTCCGCCACCGCCTTGTGCGGTACTACTGGTGTATATATATATATATACACATATATTATATCGTCAAACTTTTATGAACATGATTCAACAATTTTAATATGATCAGAAAACATGGCCCCGGCTCTTCAAATTTTAAACTCCGGTTGTGGATTGCGAAAACTCCGGCGCATACCGCCACAACCGAATTTTGCTTTTTCGCTGCAAAACTCGACTCTTCTCGAGCTCATGAATCACGGACCAATCTTTGGCAGTAAAACAAATGGTTTCACAACAGACCCTAGACCGTGGTTTATCAATTGTGTGGGTACCATCCAAATAGTCACACTATGATACATTGGTTCCCCCAAATTAAACAGCCGTTTGGGGTTCATTAATCCAGGGTTGACATTATACATCCATGTTCCAAACAACTCGACTATTACTTTGCAATATGTTGTGTGTGTTGTTTTAGAAAGACTGAACGGAGACAGGGTTGCTTCATTGTACCTAGCCACATCTAGCCACAAGGGGAGGAAATTTTGAGGATTCAAAGATTCCAAGGTAGCTAAATGTCAAGCCTCCAAGATAGTTAAATCATGGGAAATTGGTGTAAGACTACAACAACGTGAAGTTAGGATGGATATGTTTATATATTATATGTATAAACACATATATATATATATTATATATACACATAAAAGTGTGTATATAAATAAGTGCATATATATATAAGTATATATATATACTTATCTTTATTTACATATATATAATCATATTTATATATCTCGAAATTATACATACATATTTATAAGTATGTATATATATATATATGTATATATCAGTATATATGTTTTGAAATACATATATATATATATATATATATGCATAAATGTAAATATGTAAATATACGTATATATATATATATATATATGTATATATAAGTATACTTATCTTTAAATCTATTTATATATATATGTGTATATACAAACAATATATATATATATATATCTACATAAGTGGATATATATAATTATATTTAAACATAAGTATATATCAATAAGTATATATATAAATAAGTATATATATGTATATTTTTTAAGTATACATATATGTATATATACATATATATATATATATAAGTACATATATGTAAGTATATATATATATATGTATATATACATATAAGTATTTATATAAGTATAAGTATATATATATGTATATATATATATTTGTTATATATATATATAAGAATATATATGTATAGTTGGATGTGTGAAACTAATCCGGGCCCCACTCTGTAGCTGGATTGGTGTATGGTTATTGGCCCAATGGTAGGGTAATCTGTATTCAGGGTATATATTTTTGGCACCCTCTTTACCCAAGGATGGTCAATTCACTCTGCGGGATGTGAAGAGTAGGGCACACAGTTGTCAAAAGACACATGATCACCAGGTGTGCCATGGTCAAAAGTTGGATAGCCTTGAGGCTCAAGCTTCCACGAAGCGAGGTGGGAGGGGTGGCGTGGCACCCCACCAATTGAGCCATGGAGTTGACATCTGTGCCATTCTTTCAAATGATGAAGTACCTCAGTCTCCGTCACCTGTTGTGTGCCCATGCCATTACCGAGTGACTTGCATCTTGACTCACTTGGAAGTTGTTTCGATGAGCACGTCCTGTGTCGTCTTGGCTTGCCGTGTGGATCCTCACTGTTGCTTGGTTCGGGACCAATTTAGATCACTTAGGTTGACACGTGGAGGGTGCCCTCACGATGTGACAGCCAGGTACTTGCTGAAGGTCACCATGGACCAGTGGTCGTGTGTGCTGTTGAAGGTTGCAAACCCGTGATTTGTCTTCAGGCATTTGTCTTTGCCAACCCGTTGGATGTGTCCTCTGATGGGGGCGGCCAGATTGCTGCACATGTCATGACGATGACTTGCACCAGGTCATTGAACCTTTCTGCGGTGGTTTCTCAGGTTGGAGCCATGCCTCACGTGTTAGCTTTCCACAAGACTTTTGGTGGCACCTTGATGGCGCTGTGCCCTTTGGTCCAGTTGTCATTGCCCGGAAAAGGAACGTGTGCATCGGTGATGTCATT